AGATTCTATATATATACTTATTAGTTTGACTTGTCCTTATTAAAATTTTCTAAACTGCTGCTTCTCTTTGTCTGTTTGATCAAATTCTGAGAGAAGCACAGGTCCAAATGGTCAACTGCAATTGGCCATCTACCTCTCCCACTGCTGCTCTAGATATTTAAAAGCAGTGTTGTGATGCATAAATGTTCACAACTATACTTTCTTGATCTGTTATTCCTCTGAACACATATGACACTGTTTTGTGTGCCTTACAACTTCTTTGTCTTAAAAGATAATATTAAAGCAAATCAGATTAGTAGGCACATGTTTTCCTCATATAACTGTTTTTAAAAATTATTTTCTTGGGTTGGGGGTATAGTTCATTTGAAGAGCACATGCTTAGCAGGCACCCTTGGGTTCAATCTCCAGCACCACCAAAAGAAAAATGGTTTTCTTTTTTTGTTTTTAACTTTGCTGTTTCTTCTTGCCTATTTAATAGGCAAAAACACAGTGTGTTTCTATATATTACTTTTTAGCCCAAATGAGATTTATATTTTAATGTAAGCTTAACTCTTTTATATTTTCTGCTTTTCCCATTATTTACACTTATTTCAGCTATCTTTTTCACAGTGTCAACATACCAGCATGTTTCTTTCCTCTCAGCCCCCTTTCTTTTCTATAGATAAGCTGAGTTTTGTTTAGTTTTTTTTTTTTTAATTCTCCTGGTATATATTACACTTAAATTTTCCTGTCAATTTCCTAGGCTTTTCATTATTTATATCTCCCCACAAATAATACATTACCCCATTACCACTGAGAGCAATGCCACTCACCATCTTGGGGGAGGGTGGTGGTGGTGGAAGACTATGGACTGCACACAGTGTCATGGAAGGACAGTAACAAAGAACATTTGAAACAGAAACATGGTCACCTGGAAAAGATCCACAGCCTATTCTGTTCATGGGACCCAGCTGTCTTTTATTACAAGCAGCTGCTTTGTGTAGATTTAAATACAGATACACATCAGTCTTTCTATTTTACTCACCAGTGGGGATGTCCCCAGTGCTCACAAGAGTCTTCAACAATTATCCTCCAATAATTGATGAATGAATGAAGGCATCAACCAATAAGTGTTTCTCTTCTTTCATAAATTAATGTCAGGAAGGATGCCTATCTCCTTCAGAAGTTATATAATCCTATCATCCCACATTCTAGTCAACACCCTTCCCTCATCTCTTACCAACATGAATTGTTTCTTTATGGCTAGTCATCAACCTTCCAATGAAACAACAGTCTTGGTCTCTGCAACACACCATAATTAGCACAGTCAGAAAAGAAGGGTTCTGGTCCCAAAAAATAACACCAAGCAGTGATACAGTCCTTCAGAATGCCACTTACCCTCTCCATGCCTCCAGTTCCTCATGGGGAAAAACTGAAGCTTCAGTGTGAAGAACCTAAGTTTTGGAGGTTTGACTGATCCGTTTCTAAATCCCAGATAGTAGGCAATAACTTATGTAAAACTCAGTCTCGCTAGGCTTCAGCATGCCTGTCTATAAAATGTTACAATTCTTATTTCTTAGAAGGCTACTATAGGATAAACTGAGAAAATAAATGAAGGTATACCCACTGTACCTGGTACACAGAAGGTACTGGGTATGGGTTATCAGCAAATATATTTTTATTTATGGAAAGACTAATCTCTAAACATGCCCTTAAGTGCTAAGGATGTATTAGCAACCCTGCTGAGGAAGTGAGAACTCTAGCTTGAAAATGCAGCACACTGGGGTACTGCAAGAAGAAGGTGTGTCTCAAGCTAAGCACCCAGGGCAGCTTCCATGCCTGGACACCCCAAAGCTAAAGCAGCTCTGTGCTGGATACTGATCCTAGGATCTGCCCATTAAAAAAGAACCAGTTCCTCCTACTGTCACTAAGATATGGATAATAATGCTCACCTATAAACACAACTCCAAACACAACTCCCTGGAGAACAAAAAATGCTACCACTAAAGCAGTAAGATCAACATTATTTTAGTTTATCAATAAAATCAGCTCTGCTTTGTACACTGAGAAGTCATCCAGTAAATAAATTCAATGACTGGTCTATGGTATGACATCAAGATTTCGGAACAGGAGGATGGGCATGGTGGACCACACCTCTAAACCCTCCTACTCAGGAGGAGATAGGAGGATCATGGTTCAAGGCCAGCCACGGAAAAAGTTAGTGAGACCTCATCTCAACAAACAAACTGAGCATAGTGGTGCACTCCTAGCTCTGTGGGAGGCTAAGAGAGGAGGATTCACATGCAAAGGCAGACCAAGGCAAAAAGCAGAAGACCCTATTTGAAAAATAACTAAAGCAAAAAAGGGCGGGATGAGGGCATGGCTCAATTGGTAGAACACCTGCCTAGTGCAGAAACCCCAGTACCACCAAACCAAAAAAAAAAAAAAACAAGAAAATAATCATAAGATAGAAAATTTACTGAGAATATTAACTATAATCAATACCAAAAGTCCCAGGGTTACTAGTGAAACTAACCCCAAGTGCCAATTCAACATAGCATGCTAATAAACAATTCATCTAATCCTGTTAGAGAAGCCAGACAACAAAGTTTATCATGCCTATCCCATGTCATTACTACAAGGAGCAAATAATACAAGAGATCAAATAAAACAGAGGTGCTATAAACTGTAAGGTATTTAAAACTATTTAGCCCATTGAATTTAAGTTTCCCTCCATATACAAATGAGAGGTATATAACAAAATACCTATTTCAGCCACAAACACCTTAGGAGGCTGGTATTATCATCACCCTTATTTTACAGATGAGGAAACAGGGGCTTAGAGGTAAAGTAACTCATGCACAGACACACAATAGTGAATGCAGAACACTGGGCTTTCAGCCCAGGAATAATTTCAAAACCTATGCTTGTAACCACTGTGTTACTAAAGCCAGACCACCTCTGTGAAGGTCAACAGATTAAAGAGATGTTTCTAAAACAGAAGCAATTCTGTACATCGTGCAACACATAACACCAGAAGGCATCATTCCAAATACATGGAATGGGGAAGGAAGGCACCAAACAGGCCTTTTCCCATATTTTTCATTTTTTACCTTCAAGAATTTTAAAATTTACAAAAGTTCCATGACCCATGTTCTTTTTCATATATAAGTAAATGTGATATGTAATTTAGTACAGTACATCTTAGTAGTTTGAGTGTTAAAGTCTAGAACAACTACAGGGAAGACAGAATCAATAGTAATATAAAGAACTGGTATCAACTGCCTTTTAGTGGGCTCTACATGGGAAAGTTACTTTGGAAAAAGTGACTCTTGTCAAATGTCACCAGAGAAATTATTTTTAAGCAAATGCTAATAAATGAGATTATGTTCTCATAATTGCCCCCCGCAAACTGGAAGGACATTAACTTTCATATTTTTATCATTTAATATGAGAGTTATATTTCAACAGTTATCCTAGCAACTTACAGAGGTAATCACTGAGACTCAGCTATTTCCACAATGTCTAAAAACAAATATAAAAACCATTCAAGAATGACAATAAATACAGTCTTTATGGTACAAGAAACCAATCACAAGTCCATCTGTGTGAGACCTAGCTAGTAAGACATTATATAAGTTGGGTACAAAGAGAAGGATGGATTGCCAAGAGGAAAAGTTATTTATTAGATGTGACAAGCTTTTAATTGTTTGCATTTATCATTAACCAATTGCTTGGTTCTCTAGTTCGCACATCTGCGGCCTCCATTCAAAGCTATCACAGTAGTAAATTTTGGAAGTAGAGCCCACTTCTAGGACACTGGCACCCTCTTCTGACCCTTTTGCAATATTGCACACACAAGTTACCAAAGTGAACTCTTTCATAGAGTCATAAATGAATAACTGAGTCATATTTTCCAGGTGATATAATTCCTTAGACAAGCCCAAATTTAGCCCAATAAAAATATAAAAACGTAGATTTTCTTTAAAAATTAAATGCCATCAAACTACGTCCTTATCTACTATTTGTTTAAAAGAGAAAAAAACCCTAATCTAGAGCATATGCTTTATCTTTCTCTATCAAGCAGAACTATTGACCTGCTCCTACCTAAATCACCTATTTCACTAAGATATTTTTTAAATATTCATAAGAAGACAGTAAATCCAGATAGCAATTCTTTGTCTTTGATCACTGAAATTATGACACATGAGAATTTGTCTGGGATTGTGTATTCCTACCTGAAGTTAGGCCAACAGACAGGTAACCTTACAAGATTTCTGAAAATACTAACTTTATTTTCAAACGGGAAATGAAGACATACTGTCTAATGATCTATAGCTCAAAACTACATCTATCTAAACAGTTACAGATTCCACAGTTTGCCAACAATAAAGTTATTCATGACATCAAAAACACGCCAGGCACTCGTGGTTCACACCTATAATCCTAACTACTCAGGAGGCAGAGATCAGGAGGTTTGTGGTTCAAAGCTAGCCCCGGCAAATAGTTCGAGAGACCCTATCTAGAAAAAACCATCACAGAAAAGGGCTGGTGGAGCGGCTCAAGGTGCAGGCCCTGAGTTCGAGCCCCAGCACTGCAAAAACAAATAAATAAATAAAAGCAAAAACACTACATGCAATCAAAACACAGAGTAGCCAAGCTCATAGTCGTTCATGACAATTTATCATGGATGAAAATAAAAAATTCTAAATCAATGACTTCTTTTTTATAGTTAACCTTTCATCTGAATACTTAATTTAGAATATTCTTTGACATACAGGCTTAGTGAAAGTCCAAAGAATTAAAAATATAAATTAATGGAACAAGTTTAAATTTGTTAGAACTAAAAACAACTGAAACAAGATGATTATGTTTTAGTGCAATACTGATCACACATTGCTAATGAATGCATCATAACAATAGTCACATTTCCTAACTCCCAATGTAACAAAGACAGCAAGGTGAAAGGGTATGAAAAGGTGCTAAGGAACTGACTGCACAGAATTCCAGGAATGTGTTACCTCAGTCTGCAGGATGGCAGCCCTTTGTTCCTTAGCAGTCAAGGACTCCTTCAGCACCTCAATGTGTTGCTTACTGTCTGAGAACTGGTTCGTGAGTGTTTCAAGCTTTGTCTGCAGAGCTAGTAATTCTGTGTCCTTTCTGGACAACTCCTGTTTCACTTGGCCAATCTGGAAAAGAAAATAATACTGTAAGGCAAAAAGAAATTAAACTAGGGCATGGCTCAAGTGATAGTGCCCTGAGTTCAATCCCCAAAATCAACAAAAACAAAATGAAAGTAAATCTACTCAGGAGGCAGAGATTGAGAGGATCGAGGTTCAAAGTCAGCCTGAGCAAAAAGTTAGCAAGACTAATCACAACAAATATACTGGGCACAGTGGTGCGCAGGTGTATTCCAAGCTTCACAGGAGGCATAAGTGGGAGGATTATGGTCCAGGCTGGCAGAGGCAAAATATTCAAGACCCTACCTGAAAAGTATTAAAGCAAAGGGGGCTAGGGGATGCAGCTCAAGTGGTAGAGCACCTGTGTAGCAACAGTGAAGTCCTGAGTTTCAACCCCAGTACAACAAAGAAAAAAAAAAAAAGAGGGAGGGAAGGACTACCTCTGATCTGGACCTTTGACAATTCAAAGTCACAGATACGAAACTGAATTCTACATTAATTTTATGACACGGCAGGGGCTCAGAGTACACCTTAGTGGTTGTGTGCTTGTCTAGCATGCCCAAGACCCTAGGTTCATTCCTCAGCACAGCAAATAGTAAGCAAATAAATAGGACACAGTCATCATTTTGCATCATCTAATCTCAGATCCCATCGCCCCCCCAAAAAAATAAGCTTATTCAAGAAATTTCCAGTTTTCATTTAGCGTCTTCTAAATATTATTTGAAACACCTCAGAAAAGAAAGAGGGGAAGGAAATTCCAATTCAATTAGATGAGTATGAGGCAGCAATAAGCACCTGAACACCACTGTACTGATAAAAAGTTTCCATTTTACTATGTCAGACCTCTCTAGAAGATGACAGATCAAATGCAGAGTTAGTATAGATATAAAACAGAAGGAAAAAAGAAACCTCCTAGTATTGCTATTTGAATTAAAAAATTAGTGCTATGCCTCTTTATTAAGTTTTATTTTTCTTTCTCAAACAAAAGTTTCACAAAATCCTTCTTAGAAGGCTACTTTTAGTGATACAAGGCAGTAGAGACATATCCTTTTTTAAAAAAAGCTATAATTTTGATCAGTTTTGTGTACTGAACTTAAAAAGAAATATTCTACATATAAAGGTCTATCACCTATGAGAAATCATACCAAATAAATGATTAAAAGTATGTCACCTAAATAAAGAATCTCTTTCTGTAAGAAACCACATGTGTAACTAGAAGCTCATTATTCTAAAAAGGTAACCTACAAATTACTGGCACCATTCATCTCATATATATCTCTCTTAACAGAGAAAATAAGTTCTTTCAAACATCTCCTTTACATTCCAATTACTTCTAAATTTTTTAAACACTCTTTTATTCTAAGTATAAGTCAAATAAATGGGAATTGGATCTGTTTTTACATTAAGTCCATCATGCAGCAAGGCACTTCAAGTCAGATTAATTATCTAAAGTATAAATTTGACAAGAAGTCAGTTGATTTTGGTAGCACTGATGAAACTAAAGTCCTTTACTTTTAAAAAGTGAATGTATCTAAAGTACTACTGTAACAAGCTTAGATGGGAAAAGGCATTGAATACAATATCCCAAGAGGAAATAAACTGTGCTTTAAAATTCGATTTTCAAGAGCACTAAAAATAAATTTCTCTTTTAGTTTTCTGTTTCAACAAGAAAACAAGCATTTTTCTCATATATGAATCTCTAGTTACAGATAGGTATCATTCATCCCACACATATTTCTGCATGCTTATTGTATGCAGAAAATACTGAGGGTACTCATGGTATCTGATTAACAAATAACACACACTAAAATTTTTCCATCTTTAAGTACAGATTATACTAAAAATGCATTTGTTGTATGAATGACTACTTGGCAGAAGTATTCCACTTCCTCTGTAAACAACTATGGCTTACAGATTATGCAAATATCTGGCTACTTCCAATGATCAGATCAAGAATAAATATAAGCCAGATGGGGCAGGACACACCTGTTACCTCAGCACTAGACAGGCCAAGCAGGAGGACTGAGAGTTTCAGGCCAGCCTGGGCTACATAGTGAGATGCTGTCACATATATACACATATACATAAATAAATGAATAAATAAGTAAATAAAAATAATGTGTTTCCTCATTATCTATACTATTAAACAAGCTTTACAAATACCTACTTGACCTTAAAGACTAAGGAAGGGAAGAAAATAATCTAAAACAAAAAGCAAAATTTAGAAGCACAAATTTTCCTTAAAGAATGAGAAGGGGAGAGATTTTAAACAGGGAGCAAATATAACACAAAGATCAGGAGCACAAGTCTTTGCAGTCAGTCACACACTAAGCTGAACTAGCTCTGTGTCTGAGATCAATAATTTTACCTCTCTGGCCTTGGTTTCCTAATTGGTACTATGAAAAAATTGTTAGCAATGCCACTGTGTTGTTTAGGGATTTAATAAAACAATGTATGAAATAAATATACTTGGCCTGGTGCCTGACACAACACAGAAAAAAATAAATAAATAAACAAACAAGCAGTAGCTAGAAAAAAAAAGTTATACATCAATTTGTTCTCTGGACAACACATGGTTACACCATGAACCAAATTAGACTCTTTCAAACACAATACTTCAATGTATTATCTATACTATACAGTAGTCCATAAACAGAAAGCATAGAAAATTGACTCAATTTTTTTTAAGCATTGCATTCCAGTCTTAGTCAACAATTACTTCTGAAAACAGTTTTTCCTGGTCCTTTGATAAATGTGTATGTGGCCACATTTAGGGCAGATAAGTTTCTACCCTATATGTGGCCACAAGAATTTACAAAATTCTTGTGTAAAATCAAACACTTCCACTAGCTGTGGTTTCCTAGGCACCATTTCCTCAACTATTAATTGGAGTTGATAACCTCAGCAAGTTATAAGAGGCTTCAAATAAGTATACAAGTGTTAGCTATTTTGTTATTCATTACTATGTTTCAAATGAAATTTTAGGTTTATTAGGTAGATGACTATACTTCAGATAAATCTCACTCTAATTCTAATTTGCCAGGTAACTCTATATAGGTTAATCATTTTCTATGCCATTTGTTCAAAAGAAAATAACATTTCTTGTAAAATCTCCTAATGGGAACTTCAACATAGTATCTACATAAGAAGGTAAAGCACTTCACTCAAGAATTCCAAATTCAAGTAAGCTCTAGTTGACAGGCCTAAGACACCCGCCTATTCCTGTACCTAAGAAGAAAAAAATATCACCATTCATATAAACCAACAAGTGTTCAATAAGGTGTTATGAATTACAAGCTCTGAATACCATCCATAGAGTGGCAAGGCGACCATAAAGAACCAGGTATAGGGCTTCCAGAATACATGAGGGCTCAGTGCATACAGAGTGACATGTAGGTCAAACTGGTAAACAGAAGTCAGTTAAAGAGCAGAGCAGGCTGGTTAGTTCTAGTAATGGGCCAAGCTGCCAACCGTACAGAATGAAAGTGTGAGCCACCCAGAAGCCAGAGCTAGCAGGGTCCCACTGTGGGAGCACTGCACACACAGAGACAAATCTTACGGCAAAGACCTCAGACTGAAGACCAGCCGCTCTCTTTTTCAGCTCCTCCCCTTGAGCCTCTTTCGAACTTAGTTCCTCCTTCAGTTGCTCTACCTGTCACGACATTGTTATTCTTTTTCACTCATATGTCAACTTTAGGTCTTCATATTACCTGCTATTAAGCCACAGTGACCACTGGAAATAACAACTTACATAACACAATCAAATCTGTTCCCCTAGGGACATAGATGGTTTCTCTATTTTCACAGGTTTTTCTTAATGGACTGGAATGTGCTAACTCAACAAGTGGAAAGTACAGAGATTATACTACAGTTTATTTTGTTCTCAAATCAGGGTGAAAGCTCCAGACTACCAAAAAATTGGGCATATGAATTTTTAAGTTATGAAATTAGCATAAGTCATGGATAACAGATTCTCAAAATAATACAGGAATATTCAATAGACATATGCCAGATACAGCATATAAAAACAAGATGCCAGAAATGGGGGAAGGAGACACAACTGTATCTGTCATCCCTTTATACTACTGGGAATGTTTCAGTTTTCAGATCTGACAATTAAAGAATATAGTAGGGACATACATTTGGAAAATACTGTTAACTAATATTTATTTGGGTGGTAAAATTTTATCAATATAATTATGATTTTTAATTAAACCACAACAAAACTTATAAACTGACCATCATAATAAACTAAATGACTCATGTTAAAACCTAAAGCTCTCAGAGGTAACTATCCCATTGTACATCTCCTAAAGCACACATGGGCAGCAAAATGGATCTTCCCCAAGGGACAGAGCAAAGGGCTTTCCTTCATGGAACTGTAGTTAAACAGGAAACCTTATTTCACTTAATCCATTCTGGGTTATTTTAACCCTCTCAGGGTTAAAATATTTCCCAAGAGGTAGAGACTGGATATTACAGATAGTGGGAAAAAAAAAAAAAAAACTTGTCTTGATATAATTCTATTAAATCAACTCAAAAGTACTAATAGAAGTAAAAAGTTAAACTGTGACAATACATATTTAGTCTAGTGCAAGCAATCTTCTTTTAAATAAAACCTTGTAATAATTGTATGGCATCAGCAATTCTGACTAATTCTGGGAAAGTTCCATTTGAAAAAATATTTCCCTAAAGTCTTGATAAACAGTGAAGCAGATCTTTATCATAACTAAGAGGTTTCAAACTTCTAAAAACTAAAGCATCATACACAATTACCTTATTTTTCATAAATTTAGAATGGCTCCGATACACCTCCATCTGCTTCATCTCTTCTTCCCGTTCCTCAGTACTCAAAGCCCCATTCGATTTCAGCATCTGAATTTCCTCTTCAAGGTCTCGGAGCCCACGCTCCATGGAGGAAATTTTGGAATCCTATGAACAATAGAAGTACACATTAAATTATTCACAAAAACTCAGAGAGGTTGACTAACCAGGTCTTTCAAAATGTTCAAAATTCATAGAGATAAATAAATACACAGAAAAATTGCTGCCTAGCATAGTACATCCTGTATAACACAGGGCAGAAGACTCACATCTATACAATGTGGTTTTTCCTCCATTCTTTCCTCCAGTTCTGGACCCTTTGGACCACACTTGAGATAATTAACCAAAGAAGTGGAAGCAGTGGAAAAATGGTTAAAGTTTCTTTGCACTTAATGGTCAATAAATTTTTGATTTAAAAAACTGTGTTATTAACAGTAAACCCTTTTCCAATTCTAATATTTCACTATTTTACTTAAGGGCCCCAGAGGGCATATTTCTGCCCCAAAGGAGGGAGAAAGAGAAAGAAGATGTCAAAGATTTGTACAATAATGTGTGTAGTTAAGTATGTAATAAAAATTTCTTAATGTTTCATTGCAGAAAAACAATGGAATGAATAATTATACTAAGTTAATCTTTATAATGTTCTCTACATGCCTATATATTTGAAATATTTCATAATTTCTAAAAAAAACTCTGAGTTCAGTGGCATGTTTTAGTCCCAGATATTCAGGAGACTCAGGCAGGAAAATCACCTGAGGAAATCTCTGTCTCAAAAAAAAAAAAATTAAATACTGCTGTTCTTGCAACTCGTTATCATTACCACAAATACCACCTTCCAGTACTAAAGCCTTCTATGTTCAATTTCTTGATTTTCTTTGTAACAGCACCTAATTTATCCTCAGATTACTTAGGGACATCATAAATTACAAGAAAACTCATACATGGAATGAGCATTTCATGTCTATAGTTGCACATGCTTATTTACCTACTTCAGAGACATTAAGAATATAAATTAAGTGAATTTTAGATGAAACATTCTTTGAAGAAGCAATTTTGGACTTTCTTTTCATCTTTACTGCACTGATTTCTTGGTCAACTTTCCTTGCTATCATAATCCTAAAGTACAAAGATAAAAGAATTTAAGTATCTGCCATTAGACAACCACAACTAACTAGCTATCTGCAGGTTCAGAGAGGGAGGAAGGGGACTGTATCCATTTCTCACTGATAACCACACCTTTAAAAAAAAAATCACAGCAAAAATTTTCTTTCAGAAATCTACTCAGATTAAACTTTTACTTTATTAAAAAATAAACATGTTAAATTAATACAGAGACATTTTAAACTTAAACCAGGATTGTGATTTAGTCATTTAAAATCAGTCAGCTTCATAACATCTCCAGACCCAGAAGAGTGCTTTGTGATGTCTGAAGTTCACTTTTAAGATTAGTATAAATTTTCCTGCAAGTATCAGTATACAATCTCTTAAGGAGGACTGAAACATTAGGCATATGCATACGAATAAAAGAAAGTGAAATATCAAATTCTCCCCTGCCTTTAGCCAAGGGCAGTGAAAGGGGACCAGCTAAAACAGAGAAGTCTACTTCTAGCACAACTCAACTCTGTATGAGACAACTCCAGCTCTGCACATCCTATGGCAGACCCAAACTGAACAGAGCCTCTACAAGGTCCTTGCAAAAGACCTTATCCACCTTCTCTCCTACTCACAACACTAACAGAAGTAGATCTTGAGTAAATCAGCACTTTCATCACCAAATCATATACCACAAAAGCTTCTTCCCATGCCTGCATGGGGCAGGCCCAGACTACCCAAGAAAAGATCTACCAAGCAACTGAAATCAGGCTAGAAAATTAACATTTAATACTTTTAACCAGATGTAGCATCAACTCAACTGGTTCCAAGGCTGAGTTTATTTGAGGATAGTTCTTCCAACCAGGTTTGGCAATCCTATGTGCAATAACTAAGTTCCATTGTGTCTTACTTCCCTAGCCCTGACAGCCCCATCAGTGATCAACCAGTCCCACTGAGCCTACTGAAATCCTCTACTCCTTGTTAAATTCCCCTAAGTCCTCAACTTTCAAAGGCTGTCTCCCTGCCCCTTTGGCTTTCCCAGATAATATAATTTCTCTGAACTCTCTCCAATAGTGCTCTAATACCACAAAGGGGCAGGGAGAAAGGCTGGCATTCCTTTAACTCCTCAGTTATGTTCCCCTGTAGTAAAGTTCACAATCCTTTCAGTCTTCCCTCCACATTGCTGCCATCTACGGACTTCTTAAACCCTCCTGCCATTTTATGAAGTCTTTGGCATCAATTCATAATCTTCCCTTCAGTCTCCATTATTGCCATCACCCTAGGATTTCAATGTCAGAATTCCTTGAGATCCTCAATTGCAGTGACTTTATCTTCCAGTTCAGTCTATTTCAACTATCCAACTGAACGAGTCACCCTCTCTTCCCAGGCCTAACCCACCTCACTCTGATTATTTCTGTTCTTCAACTTCATAGACAACTCCGTTTGCCTTAACTTTTACATTTCTTCTCAACCTGTCAGCATAATTAAATCTTCTCCTTTCCAGAGTACATTCCAGGACTGATCAGCCAAACTACTTAGTTATTGTTGGAGACTAGACATGGACCTTGGACTGGGAAATGATAGAGCTTGTAAAGTCTCTTCATGGTAGAAGAATAGGAGAGTCTCTCCCACTCTCATTCTTCCCAGCACCTGCTGTCTTGATCTTTGTTCCCAAATCTCCCTTGAAGAAAACAACCTGTTGTGACCACATACAGGCTCCCTGATGCAAAACTAGATAAAGTACCAGAACTGTTAGGAAACTCCCTGATGCCAGATTAATCAATACCTATAGATAAGGTGTCCTGTGTGCCTTGTCAGTTTCCAGAACAGATGTGTTATAATTAAGCTTCTATAGCCTTAGGAAAATTAGCGCACCAGACCCCATTCCTTTTACCTAAGATCAAAGAATTGTTGAAGCCTGATTTTTACCTGATTCATTTCCTTGTATTGGCCTATAAAATAAACAGTCTGGCTCAGGTAGGCGCTCACATATCCCACCAGGAACATGCAGCTCTCCCAACACCAGTTTTGTGTGTCTTTATTTCTCATTCCCCATCGCTCCCAGTCAGGTTCAGCAGCTCCTCACACAGGTCATGGTTAAGTTATCACCCCCTCAATTTATTTATCATTCTGCTGTATCTACCCAGGGAAACTCTAATCCTACAGCAGTACAGTAATTCTTCCCTGCTCCTCCACTGCTAAAGGAAAAAATGAGATTGGTAGAGGGAGAAGCAAAGGAAGAGGAGGCAGAGAGGAAAAGATGAAAGGGAGGATGGGAAGAAGAGAGGGAGGGAGGGAGGGAAGAATGGAGGGAGGAAATAAGAAAGGAAAGAGAAGAGAGGACTGAACCACCCTGAAGATTCCTGGGCTTTTTCATTGTCCGCCCATCACCTTTTTTCCTGCTCCCCCAAGGCTGTTTTGGAGCTTCCTGCTGACCCACACTAGTTTTGTACTCCTCAGCAGCTCAGTTATTTCAGTCATGACCTCAACATAACATCCACTTGGCCCATCTGGACCACCAGACTCATTTCTTAGCAGAAGGTTAGCAAAAGTACAAATAGATACACTGCCAATTATTATGATTATACATACCTGTTTTGTCAAAGACAAGCAAAAAAACAATTCCGTGGATACAGGTATACTTCATGTTTTATTCTTAGGTGTCAACAGGGATCAGGAAAGAACATGCACAAATATGCCCGTGGTGAATGTGAATAAGGTAAAACCATGCAATTAAACCTTCATTCTAAAGGCCCTTACAGGAGTATATTCAAGACTGCTAATTATCTAACTACACAGAACCCAGAATCCACTAATTTAGAATTCGTTCAATAGAGTTCCTTTCCCCATTGAGAATAAAGATACACACAATATAAATGAAGCTTGAAGAGGAAATCATCCAAATTAAGAGAACAGTTCTCATAACTGTACTTGAGGAGCAACTATTTAAATAAAATTATTTATATACCAGTAAGAATACAAGAAAGTATTCTTGTTGCAGTGAAAAATACAAAATGAAGGGCCCATAATATAAAACACAATGTCAAGCTTCTTAGGGGATATGAAAAAAGTAACCAGGGCAGGGAATAGGTCTCTATAAGAACCTTCGTAAGAACATGAAGCCAGGCATGGTGATACACACCTATAATCCTAGCACTCCAAAGGCAGAGGCAGGAGGACTAGGAGTTTGAAGCCAGCTTGGGATACATACTGAGTTGCAGGGTAGCATGGAACTAGTTACCGAACTCCCATTAGTGGATCTGGCTTCACTGTAATTAATTAACAGAGGGAAGAAGGAAGGACTAGTCCAGGCCAAAAAAAAACCTGAGAGATCCTACCTCAAAAAAAACTAAAGCTAAAAGGGTATGGCTCAAGTGTTAGAGCACCTGCCTAGCAAGCACAAGACCCTGAGTTCAAACCCCAGTAACCACAAAAAAGAGAAATAGGGCATAAAGAAGTTAGGGAACTTGCTCAAACTGATTAAGTACAGTGAGATTTTGAATCCAGGCAGTTTAACTCAGAAAGCAAGCTCTTTATGACCACACTATGAAGCCTAGAGATATCTAACTACTCTTTCATTTAAAGCAGTTTCTCAAAACATGGTCTCTAGAAACCTAAGGATCATTTGGACCCTTTCACAAGATCAAAACTATTTCCACAGTAATATATGGTATCATTTGATGGTTTCATTGTGTTGACATTTGCTCTAAAGGTATAAAAGCAACTGGTGAAACAATTAGTGCCTTAGCACTAGGAGTTATGATATTCTTCAGGATCAGGCACTTGTAGAGAAGAAAAATAAGAAATAAAAGTTTCAAAAGAATGTCCTTAAGGGCAAGCATATACAGAGATTGGGAGGATGGTCATTCAAGACCAGCTCAGGCAAAAAATTATTGAGGTGCTTCAACAAACCAGTTGGGCATGGTGATTCATGCCCATAATTCCAGCTAGGTGGAAGGTGTAAGTAGGAGGATGGAGGTCTCAGGGCAAAAAAACACAAGACCCTATCTGAAAAATAACTAATGCAAAAAGGGCTGGGGGTGTGGCTCAAGTGAAAGCATTTCTGCCTAGCAAGTTCAAGGCCCTGAGTTCAAACCTCAGTGTTGACAAAAAAAAAAGTTCTTGATTAAGCAGTAAAAAAGTACTACTTTGAAAAAAATCTCAAGTACACAATCATTTTAGTATTTTGTGAGAGAACTTGAGAAGCAAGCATGAGACATCTTTGCTGCATACTGCAGTGTGATAGTTGTCCTCAGAAACAGTACTTGTGCACTGTCTTAAGTTACGAGTTGAGTTGGTTATTTTTTCCGTAGAACACAGTTTTTACTTCAAACAACAACTATGGTTCTGAAACTTGTTAACTGATAAAATAATGGGTTTCACTGTGACATCTTCATATGCACATATAACATACTGTGATCACATTTATCTAATATGATCCTCTCTTATCCCTTTCCCCTGCCCCAATCTTCCTCTTCTCTAACAGTCCCTCTTCTACTTCAAGGAAATAAAATTTAAAATTCTTTTTTTTTTTTCTCCTTTTGGCAGTAGTAGGGTTTGAACTCAGGGCCTGGCACTGCATCCAGCCCTTTCTGCTTTGGTTATTTTTGAGATAGGGACTTATGTTTATGCCTGGGCTGCTTGGACCCTGATCCTCCTATTTATGCTTCCCACTTAAGCTGGGGTGACAGATGTACCTACCATGACCAGCTTTTACTGATTGAGATGGGGTCTCTAGGAACTTTTTACCAAGGCAATCCTACCAATCTCTGCCTCCCAAGTAGCTAGGGATTACAGACATGAACTATGGTACCCAGCTGAAATTTAAAATTCTTTTAACAGTAATTTTCATTAAGTCTCACAATTTCCTCTAAATCTCCCAAATGTCTTAAATACTATTCCCAGTATCTTCTAAAATTCAAAAGTGTGTTACCATTCAAAAGTGAAAGGCGATTCATAAGATTCTTAGAGTCTCACTTACCTTCATCTCAATAACAGTTTGAAGAGCTTTTGTTTTGGCAGAATCAGGAGCATTCTCAAACCTCCTGTGCATCTCCTAACAAAAGAGAAGCAGAAGAGTCAGTGCCCTTCTCACTCTCCTCATCTGAAAGGAAAGGTCAGGCATCACTGTATGCAGAAGATAATGATCCCAACCTCTGTGACTATCTGGCCCCCTTCTCTATGCCAAAACCTTTCCTGTGGATCAGGGAATCTAGACAGCATTCCAGCTAATTCAACCATGCAGGTGTTGGAGGGTCCCTGACTTTAAACACCTAGATAATTAAAATTTAGTTACTACACCAGTTACTACAACAGTGGACACTACAGCCCATCAGCAGGTTGATGGCATGTAATCAGATCCCTTTTTAAAAGGACAAATAAAGATCATCACAACCAACCTACACTGCACAAAGCTACTGAAAGCATTTGTGTTGGCAATATGTCTCCACAGCATCCTCCCCCAGAGTAACAACAACCTGTACTACCCATGATGAAAATTTCTGGTGGGGTTACAGATAGAAAGAAAAGGATGAGACTACTGAACAAGTAAGTGTCCTGGGCAGTTTAGGGTTAGAAAATGTCAGAAAAACATAGCTCTCTTTTTTAACGCAAATTTTAATTGTGTTCAGGATAGAAAGAAAGGATATTAGGATCTTCAAGGGTCACTTTGAAGTTACCAGACTGAGGCAGGCTAAATCAGGGAAAGTTCAAGACTCAGAAAAATATTACATCTTAGATCAACCATGCTTTGGCTCAGGAACCAGCCTCACCTGCCAGAACCACCCAGGCCCCTTCCCACTTATTGATTATTAGATGGGAATCTCCTTGTTCTCCCTTCCCCATTGGTTATCATAGGTTTTAAAAGCACCAGAAGTACAGAAACATGCTCTCTTGGCCTCCTCATGCCACCTGGGCCCCCCCATGTTCCCCTTTGTATTTTCTTTTCCTAACTTTTAATAAACTCCATTTATACCCACGTGTCTTGCAATGGCTTCTTCCCACAGAACACAAAGAATGTGGAAGCCTTCTGATCAGACTGCACCAGCACCATTAACAAGACCACTTCAGGCCATTCTCTTGTCAGATTCTGTGAATGTCTCTGAATTAATCTGTCGGTACTTACAAAAAATGCTGAGGCAGCCTCTAGTAGTCCCAATAAACAGAGAAATTACAGAGACAAATACTCCATCGAACAATGTTTAAACATAATGGAAGGGATTGTAATACAAGACTTTGGTTATGCCTTTCACATAACTTATTCATTTGGGGGGGGGAGGTGAAAATGAGGCTCGAACTCAAGGCTTCAGGCTTACAAAGCAGGTGCTCTACTGCTTGAGCCATCCCTCCAGTCCATTTTGCTCTGGTTACTTTGGAGATGGTGATCTCTCAAATTATTTGCCTTGGCTAGCCTCAAGCCATGATCCCCTAATCACAGCCACCCAAGTAGCTAGGATTACTGCATAAATTAAGTCTGGCTAACTTATTTCTTATGCCTAAGCAGGAAGAGCTGTTCAAGAAAAACAGAAAATATAACTGCAATCTAACTGAGGTATCTTTTCTTAAAAGAATAGTCTTGACTGGCATGGTGGCTGGCCTCTAATCCCATCTACTCAGGAGACAGAGACAGGAAGATAGTGTCTAAGGCCAACCCACGCAAAATATTAGCAAACCTCTAACTCAAAACCAAACCAGGCATGGGTGGTGAGGTAGATTAGGAATAGGGAAAGTTTGAGACCAAGATCCCTCCCTGATTTTCCTTAAGAGCTCCATTTTAATTAAAATAAATTAGAAAGAATGGAACTTCCTCCCTCATGCACCCCCTACCTGAGAATTAACATAGGTGTATATGGGAGTCCACCCACCTCCTCCCCCTGACTCAAAGGTCAATGGAACTAGGTAATGACATGTGATTAAAATGATAAACAACAGTTCTGGCTCAGGAATGCCCTCACCTGGTCCTGAACTGCCCAGGCCCCTCCCCACTCACAGATTATTGGATGGGAATCACCTGGTTTTTCCCTTCCCATTGGTTAGTGTAGGTTTTAAATGCACCTGGAGAAGAGAAGCAGGTTCTCTCAGCCTCCAGACTCCACCTGGGCTCCAACCATGCCCCTTTTTGTATTTCCTTAACTTTTAATAAACTCCATTGACACACACATATTCTGCCACTAATTCTTCCTGGTGGACATAAGGAATTTGTCTTGATGGAAGATTACAAAAGACTTGAACAAATAACCCTGCCTTGAGGTTACCTCAAAATTCTTCTCCTTCCCTGAACTGCTGCATGACTTGAAACATGACGTATTTCACCCACCCAGACACCTGTTCTCCCTTCTTGGAACCAGCTACCCAGTGACATTTTTTTCCCTCCTCCCTCCCTACTTAAGGACTGCACTTTACCACAACTGTGCGCCACTTGCTTTCGGATTCATCGGGGTGTATTTGGTGCCCCCTCTAGCTTTTAATAAAGGCCCGTCCAGTCTGTTGAGGTCGTTCATTTTCTTTCTCATCTATCCTTGCTTCATTAAATAGTTTGAACCTAACAAGTCTGATCACAGATTCCACCCTGCCACCAACAGTGATACATGCCTATAACCCATCTATGTAGGAACCAAAGGGAGTAGTAGTCTCCCAGTTGGAAATTAACCCAGGCAAAAGCGTGAGACCTTATTGAAAAATGAATTAAAAGCAAAAAAAAAAAAGGTTGAAAGCGTGGCTCAAGTGGTAGAGAGCTTGCCTAGCAAACTCAAGACCCTTTGTATCACCAAAAAGAAAAAAGAAAAATCCAAAACTTTTTAGTATCAACACAATGCTCAAGTTTCAGATTTTGGAGCATTTCTGATTTTAGACATTTAGATTAGAGATGCTTAACTATTGGAAGTCTGTGCAAAATAAAAAAAATTTTTTAAAAACCTCCAAAACCTGAAAAACTGCTGGTCCCAAGTACTTCAGAGCAAGAATACCCAAACTGTATTAATACCCAGCATAATTTCTGATATCCATCTCTGCAGGTACTCCACTGTGGTTAACAAACATTACCACCAATTAACTCCTGATGGTATCACCAGTCCATCCTTTCAGTCATTCAAGCCAAAAAATCTATGAGTCATCTTCATGCCTTCTGTTCTCTCTCAAGCCACAATCAGGAGCTCTAGTTAACTCTACCTTCAAAACATTAAAAATCCAAGCACTTCTTCCCATTTCCACTGCTACTACCTAGCAGAAGCCACTGAAGTAAACGTTTTAAACAACAGTCTCAACAGACCTTTTAAACACAAGTCAACAACTGAGCTTTCCCTCCTCACAATGTATTCTCAACAGAGCACCATTTAAACATCACTTGATCTTGTTACTCCTCTGCTCAAAACCCTGTCATGGCTCCCCACGTGACTCAAAATAGAGTCAAAGTCCTCTTGGTAGCCTACAAGACTTCATATCTTGATGAGGCAAGCTAGTAAATAGGAAAAATGTTGGCAATAATGGCACCGATAGGTTTCAGTTTTTACTGCACCCTTAAGCTTCTGTTTTCCAGGGCCACGGTCCTGCCTCAAGTCTAGCTTGAATCCTCCTTCTGCCCCAACCTCCAATCAGCATGAACCATAAGATCCTAACCAATCAGATCATGCTGAGTCTCACTGAGAGGTATTTAAGCCCTTGCCCCTCTTGCTTCTCTCTCTTGACTCTCTCCCTCTCCCACCTGGCAACAAAGAATCTCTTGGCCAGATCACTCTTCTCCACGTGGTCACTTTTGGGGCCTACATGTCCAACACTTGGTACCATGACTCGGATGGGGGCTCCCCACTAATCCTGGTGGGACCCCCATTCCAACTCACCTCAACCACCCTGAGGACGTGACTGGCCAGGACTCATCCTCCCGATCACCCTGCTTGCATCCAACACCAGACATTCTTTGGTGAGTCCACATACCCTTCTCAGGCTCCCTTTGTGGTCTCCCCCTTCAGTGTCTCCGGGATTTTCAAGCACTCCCCGTTTGGCTATCTCTGCGTAGCTCAGGTGGTAGAGGGATTCCCTCAGTTGTCGGGCTTGGATCCATTTTGTCATGGGTCTCAGAGACCCCTCCTCAAAAAGCCTGGGCCCAGGTGACCCACAGCCCTCGGCCATTTGGCCCAGCACGCCACTAGAACTCAATGACGATTGATTCTCATGGGCCTTGTGCTGTTGTCAGGTATTTGTGCTGCGCGAGGATGCTCCACAGTACATAATATCCTCCTTCTCCATTACGGGACCAGGCCCCATACAATGAGTGCCTCTACATCCTCTTTACCCTCTGACTCCCCATTGAGATGCCTTCTCAATAATTTAGACACCTTGGGTTTGACCCCAGACATAAAACCAAAAAATTTAATCCACTTTTGCACTCAAATCTGGCCCACTTATCCTTTAGACAACCAAAATCACTGGCCCCTTTTCGGGTCTTTAAATCCCAACCTTTTATGGGACATATAACTACTGTGAGCGATCGGGACAATGGGGAGAGATTCCATTATGTCCAAGCCTTTTCATACCTCCATCTAAATCCGGCTCTCTGACTTCAAACCCTCCCTCTGTACTTTCTGTTCCCCTGCGCAGATTCTATCAGCATGTAAACCAGTTTCTAAATCAACCAATTCCTCTCCAAACCTCCTCCTTCCCCATGTAAACAGACTTCTTGCACTGTTTACCATACCTATCTCCTCCTATCTTCCTGAAAAACTGTCCCCATCATGGAGTTAAGCAAGCCACTCCTTGCCAATTCTGACCTCAAGGTGGTTCCAGCTCTGGGAGAGCTCATGCTTTATTCCGTGAAGGAGAGTAGAGGTTTCGTTTTGCTGAAAGCCTGCAAGTACCAATCAATGGGAGCAACCTGGAGGCACAGGTGATGGCTAATCCCTAAAGCGTGTGTCATGCCTCCAGGCTCTGCCTTCCCCTCCCTTACCTAAGATGTCAGCACCTTTTCTGCCTCCTTGATGGTCTCACCATGTGTCCTCTGTTTCTGTCTGCCTTCCCCTCCGTGGGCTTACTGGGACCCTGCCTCCCATGAAAAACCTGTAGTAT